AAAAAAAAAAAAAAAAAAAAAAAAAAAAAAAGAGATCAGATTAAAAAAATCCTTAGCTACAATCAATTTAACACATTATAACAAATCTCAGAGTTATCAAAGGGCCATATCCATCAACTTAGTTTGGTTTATGTCAAGAAAAAAAGCCCCAAGCCACTCATCTTTTAGAGGAACCTTGAAGTTACAGTAATTAATTGAGCTCTCATCTCAATCTGAAACCCTGAAGGCCTACTTCCCTATTATAGCAGTTACTAATGGCGCTGCCAAGCACATACACCCTGCTTCCAAAGGACCCTACACTGCCCTCGCTGGCTTCTGGGCCCCAGCTAGAGAAGCACAAGGGTATCTGTGCCAGAGGGTTGGCTGTTGCTCTGGCTGTTGCCTGCTCTGTCAATTCTATTTAAAAGACTCAAAGACCATAAAAAATACTTGTCATTTGCTTCTTTCTACATTATCAGAAGACCCAAAATTCAGTCCTTTCCATATTTTTTGAGAAGTACTATGAAGCGCCTTTAATTTCTTTTTCTTTCTTTCTTTCTTTTTTTTTTTTGTGTGTGTGTATTAGCGATTGAACTCAGGACCTTGTGCGTGCCACGCAGGAACACTGCTGAGCTACCTCCCTGGCTGAAGCCCCTTTAATTTCATTATGAAGATTTTCATCTTTTTGTGTGTGTGGAACCGGGGATTGAACTCAAGCCTTTGTGCTTGCCAGGGAAGCACTTACTCTACTGAGCCGTCTCCCCGGACCCAATTTTCATCTTCTTAAGACAGGGTTTTACTATGAGGCTCAAATTGGCCTTGAACTCACTGTACTCCAGGCTGGCCTCAAACTCGCAGTGATCCTCCTGCCTCAGCTTTTTGAGTTCTGGGAGTACAGAACTTAGAATGCCACTACCCTGAATCTTAATTTTAGAGATGGGGGGTGGTCTTCCTATGTAGTCCAAACTGGCCTTGAACTTACCATCAGACCAGGTATCAAACTTGTGATTCGCCTACCTCAGCCTTCCAAGAGCTGGGATTTGCTACCATACCTGACATGAACCCCATCTAAATACTCAATGTGAGGTTCACCTAAGTCTCTGCTAAACTTGGCACTCTACCACAAGGCTGAGCATGGTGGTACATGCCTGTAATCCTAGCACTTGGGAAGCTGAGGCAGGAAGACTGACAGTTCAGTGACAGCCTGGGGCTACATAGTGAGATCAAGGCCAGCCTGAACCACGCAGTGAGACCCTATCTCAAGAAACAGCACACGCACTACATCCAAAAAGGCACTGTTTAATGCTCGCTTCAGAAGCACATACTAAAACTGGAATGATACAGAGAATATCAGCATGGCCCCTGCACAAGGATGACATGTAAAAAGACACTGTTAAATTACTAGCCATAGCAGCTAATCCACGTAAGATATAAAATCACAAAGCTGAGATCTAACATTTAATAACTATTCAAACAGAAGAGGCATATTATAAAACCTAAAATGATTGAGGGTTTTTTTTTGGAATTTTAGTACAGGGTCTATAGGGTCTACAGGGTCTCACTATATAGACTGGACTCATAGTGATCCACCTGTGTTCAGCCTCCCAAGAGCTGGGATTACAGGCATGTGTCATCACGTACAGTCTCAATCACTGTCTCAGCGCGCCCTGGGAGCAAAGTATTTTTTTTTTAAAGTTGTTTTATTTTGGGAAAACTCAAATCATTCTATTAATACTGAAGTTGCCTTCTTGTTGCATACTAAAAAATTTGGCTTTCTTATTTTCTCTACATAAATAAAATCTTGAAAAATAAAAACACAGCAAGCTTACTGAGAATCATTTCCATCTTAGAGCTCAGACAGGGTGATGTAGGATTTGGAGATTTGAAGTCTTTAACACATTATTCAATGGAATAGTCAAATGACAGCTAATTAATTAATTAATTTAGTTTTTGAGAGTCTCACTATGTAATTCAGGCTGATCTTAAACTCACTATGTAGCCCAGGCTGGCTTCAAATGCATGGCAATCCTCCTGCCTCAGCCTTCCCAAGGCTGTATGGCACCACGCTTGATTCTATTTTTTCTTTATGAGTAAAACAAATTTTCAACCATTATAAATTTCAAAATGCTTCAATTCTTGAGAATATCTTAAGCATAGGATTTAAAATTTTATTTTACTTTTTTGTGGAACTGGGGATTGGGATTTAAAATTTTAATTAATTTATTTATTTGGGGAGGATTTAAAATTTTAAAGTAGGAAAATAAAATCTAAGAAATCTCAAATAGTACTGAAAAGAATTTTTCTTCTTGGGTATTAAGAGTTCATAATTTTTCCTTTCACTTTCAATCCAGTTAGATAAGTACAATACTAAGAAGCAGATTCTGCTATTAAAGAAAAAAGTACTACTTTTAGTTTTTTATGTGTGCTGGGGATAAAACCCAGCAAGCACTCTACCTGCATCCCAGCCCCTACACCCACCCCCTTTAATAGAGGGCTCAAGTGATTCTCTGCCTTTAATATTAATACAACCAAGATTAAACAAGGGAAATGTTAAAATACACTTACTTTAGTTCTGTAAAAAAGCCTTGCATCTTCCCTAATGTCGCATTTAACATGCTTTTCCAGAGCCCCGCAAAGCAGCACGAAGTGTTTCTGTTCACAACACAATAAATGTAAAGGACTAAACAATTCTGAAACATTAATAGAGACTGTACAGTAGAACTAAGTCACTTAACACCTATCACCTTCCAGTTAGCAATTTCTGTTGTCAACTGTCCAGCATAACAGCAGTCCTATCAGTGAACAGTCATTCTGTGCAGATGGGGTTGACCATGATTTTCTGCTAAGTGAATTTAAAGATCACATGCAGAAGCTGGCATAGGGGTGCGCCCCAGGAGTCCCAGCCATCTGAGGCTGGGGCAGGAGTTAGCCACCAGGGACAATACAGTTAGATCCCTGTCTCGGTAGCAACAACTACTGCTATAAAAAAGCCATAGGTTAGGGATGTACTGTAGTAGAACAGCACTACTTAGAATGTGAAGGCTCTGCTTCAACCCCCACCACTGGAAAACAAATGAAACAAAACCCATAAAAATGATGTTTTGTTATGTTTTAGGTTACACTAATGAAGATTAATCTCAGAACTCAAAATGGGTTATGTTGCACTAATCATCTGAAGAGTCCTTCCTTCAACATATCCTTTAATATTCAAATAGCAAACAAATGAGCTTTTATTTTACTTATTTACTGAGCTACGACCCGTCTTGTGGTCCTCCTGCCTCAGCCTCCCAGAGTGCTGAGATGACAGAAGGGTGCTACTATGTTAAGCAATTTTATTATTCTTTTTTTTAGTGAGTGGGCAGAGTTCTGAGGAGACAGCTATCGACACCACACTCCTCACTACCTTCCTCCACTGCAGCTGCACTCGGTCTGAATATGAACAGGTGATCGGAAACAAGTGAAGGCCTGGAGATCGAGGCACAGAACCGCCCCTGGCTGAGGGGCGCCACCTAACCAGTAAGCAAGAGTGTGGTGGTTCCATGGAGTGCAGGCTGAGGCTTTCGAGGCCACTAAGGCAGCCGCACTTGGAAATCCTGCAGACATGCTACAGAACAGCTCAGCCATCTCCCCCTGAGCTATCACTGTGACTTCTCATTGTTCTTTTTCAGCACCAGGAATTGAGCTCAGGACCTCATGCTTACCAGGCAGGTGCTGTGCCACTGAGCCATACCCCAGCCCTACCGTGTGATATCAGAGTGGGCTGACTCCTGTGCCTGAGGGCTGGGACTAAAGACTGTGATTTCTATAAAACCGGAGGCTTTAGGTCAAGCACATACCATATAGCAGCGGGGCATACGGGATGTCTGGGGCTCTATCACAAGCCAACAGAACAGTGGGGCATACGGGACACCTGGGGCTCTATAACACACACCAACAGAACAGTGGGGCGTACGGGACACCTGGGGCTCTATCACAAACCAACAGAACAGTGGGGCATACGGGACACCTGGGGCTCTGTAACACAAACCAACAGAGCAGTGGGGCATACGGGATGTCTGGGGCCCTATAATGAACACCAACCTGTGCTTCTGCTCTCTGCAGCCTAACAGGAGAGTATCAGGCTCTCCTGGGTCTCAGATGATGTAAAGTATTTTGAACACAAGCTGCAATAAAACTGCAGACTATGATTTCAGATCCTTGCTTATGTGTAGATACTACTCAAGGGAGGCTTTATCATAAAACAGTAGTCATCCTACCTCTGTCAAGTTATTGTCTAGGGCTGGTGAGATGGCTCAGTGGTCTAAAGCACCTACTTAGAACAAGCTTGGCAAAGCACAGGGACCGCGGTTCAAACCCCCAGCACCACATGCCAGCCAGCCCGCCCCCTGGTGGGCTGAGCTGGCCACACACACACACACACACACACACATAATAAATAAAAAAATTGAAAAAAAAAAGTTATTGCCTAAACATAAATGGAAGTATGTGTAAGACCTTCTAGTTGAACAAACCCTCAGACAGCATTTTCATTTAAGCAGGGTGGGGCATACTTGTAGCCCCAGAACTCTGGGAAGCAGAGGCCAGAGGGTTCAACATTCAAACCCAGCCTGAGCAGCTTTACCAAGCCCATGCTGCAAAAAGGTTAGGACATAGCTCAGTGTGAAGGCCCTGGGTTCAATCCTCAGTACTGAAAGACAACAACAAAAATCAAGCAAGCAGTATTTTCTGCTGGGATTTAATTATTGCAAGAGAACATTTAAGTGTAAAACTATCCAAAAATTAATAAAGAAAAAGTTTATGTTTTTAATAAAGTGTTTCGAGAGGTAGCCTGATTATGCATGTGTCACTAAGCCACGATTAAGCTGCTGTTAACACAAGATCAACTACTCTGAAAAATTAAATGTCTTAAGTTTTAAAGCGTTCAAAACAGTTTCCTGCATCGCTGGCAAACCCAGATGGACACTTTCTGGGAGGGAAACGTCATAAAAACCATTTTCATGTAATTAAAATCTGAGGTATACCTTTGACTTAAGAGTTCTAGACATTTACCGTGTAGACTTGCACAACTGCAGAGATAAAGGAATAAACGCCATCACATTACTGTATTTAATCACAAAAAATGTCCTTCTGTAAAGAGCCTGAAATACTACACTTCTTAGAAATTATTAGAAATACTAGTTATTAGAATATCTTAGGGTCAAAAGACAAATCGCTGGCGGGCCAGACAGCTCAGCAGACTAAAGCGCCTGCTTAGGCAGAGCACAGCGGCCTAGGTTTGATCCCCAGCCTGCCACACTGGCCCCACCCTTGGGGTGTGCTGCGATGGCGATTGAGATTAAGTGTGGTGGTACGCTCCTGTAATCCCAGCGCTTGGGAGGCTGAGAAGAGGAGAATCACTGTGAGTCAGATGAGACCCTGTAGACCGCATACTAAATACAAAAAAAAAAAAGCAAACGTGAAGCCTGTTTTAAAAAAATAATTGCTAGTGGATACATATACTAGGGAAAAATTTATAAGGCACTGGACTGTAGTTTATTATCTTCTACTTTATATGGTTTTATTTATTTTTATTTTTTTTGCGGTACTGGGGATTGAACTTGGGACCCTGCACTTGCCAGGCTGGTGAGCTATCTACTGAGCTATCTGCCCGCCCATTTAGATGATTTTATAATAATCACTGATTGGCTTTTGTTTTTTTTTTTTTTAAAGTTTATTTATTTAGTGTGTGTGTGTGTGTGTGTGTGGCCAGCTCAGCCCACCAGGGGGCGCGGCCGGCTGGCATGTGGTGCTGGGGGATCCAACCGCGGTCCCTGTGCTCCGCCAAGCCTGTTCCAAGTAGGTGCTCCAGACCACCGAGCCATCCCGCCAGCCCTACTGATTGGCTTTTGAATCAGAAAAAAGCTTAGAGAACGTAAAGGCCATGTGAGAATATTATAAATAAGTAACTATTAGGTTCTAATTAGGAAAGCAAATATAGTCCTATGTATACTAGCACTTAGCCTGACTGTAGTTTAATTTTAAATGCAAATGTTATTTCTAAAAAAAAAAAAAAAAAAAAAAACACTGAGTGGGAGCAAAGATGAGAAGAAACCAGGTAAAAGCTGACCAGCTTGATACTTAACAATGGGGCATTTTATAAACAGGGTGACTGTTGCCGAGGTCTGATGGTTATGCTATGCTCCAACAAGCAGAGAATTCAGCAACAAACAACTCTTGCCAAGACAGCATGTTTGCAAGTTATGGTCACTGCCCCTTTCCAGGTAGTTTCTACTAAGCATTCTCCTAACTTTTTTAATTGATTTATTTTATTTGTGTGTGTGTGTGTGTGTGTGTGTGTGTGTGTGTGTGTGTGGCCAGCTCAGCCCACCAGGGGGCGGGGCTGGCATGTGGTGCTGGGGGATTGAACCGCAGTCCCTATGGTTTGCTAAGCTTGTTCTAAGTAGGTGCTTTAGACCACTGAGCCATCTCACCAGCCCCAAACATTCTCCTAACTAAAGCCTGCACATTCACTCCATCAACAGACACCTATTTAAAACAATCCATACAGTACCTACCCGTTGTCCAGAAGAAAAAGGATGAGAACAACTAACTTCACCAACTAAGTGAAGAAGAACATAGGTCAGGTAATACGCCTGTTAGAGAAATTAATACAATTAATATCCATGAATTAGTTGGCACAGAGATCATTTCAATTTACCCATCGGAGAACAGTGCGGGAAAGACAAAGGCTTTAACCTGGCTAGTAAGGAAAGAAAAGCCAGGCATTTCAAGCAGGCTTTCTGATTTCTTACTTAAGCAGATTCATTTTACTGCCTCATGACTGCCTTGGTACAGGGCTACAAAAAACAGTCCTAGCATTAAAATTACCAAGAACCATTCTTTTACCTAAATTTCCAACTCTCACATTTAATAAATTATTTTACCACAGACAGGAATAAAGATACCTGCTTTTCAAGTTCTAAGTGAAGGCTGTCATCAATAGTGCCACCTGGTTGTTCAGCTCTTTTCTTCAAGACCATTTTCTTTAACAAATCAGAAGGTTTCATTTGCACAAGATAGTGATGGAGGACTGATATCTATGAGAAGACAGAGGAAGCACTCAGCAGACTCAGCAACACAAGGCTCTTTCTCAGGCTGCATCCACCACATGTCCATGGCCACTTGTCTTCTCACTGTCTGCCTTAGCTTTCTGTGCAGTCTAGAGAGAGCCACTTCCCCCCCAAAGCCCTGAGTTGCTTAAGGCGCTTTGCGTTAAAGATTTAGTGCGTGGACCTTGGGATATAAATGGTGAAGATACCAGGAGAAATTACAATACAGTCCATAAGAAGTGGTTTCTCTGTGAAATTAAAATTACTTGGAAGTCAGCAAAGCTGAATGTCCCCACAGGTAGAAGTCACTGAATTCTGAAAAATAGTGCTTAACAAGAAGCTATACATATATATATAAAAAAAAAATCACATCTAGGATGAGTGATCTGAAGGCTAAATATTCACATAGTTCTGTCACAAGCACGTGAACAGAAAGTAATCAACAGGAGCACAGAGCATATGGCGACAACCCAAGTCTAAATCACTTTTGGTGGCAGCGTGCACCTCAGAGTAAGAGCGACTGGGTCACCAGTCCAGTGCTTGGCAGCTGCGCTCATGGAGTGGAATCCAATGCACTTCCACCTTGCTGGGCCGGATGCCAGGGAGCTGTCCCCATCACCTTCCCCATGGCATCCTGGCATACCCTGCTGCTTGCCTCACCACACCAACCTGTTCCAAGGTCTCTTTAATAAAAAACTGACTGCCACTCTGGTTTTCTGTTTTGGTTTTTTTTTACTGAGAATCAATCTCAGGACATCACAATTGCCAGGCAGGTGTTGAGCCGCTGAGCTACATCCCCAGCCTCTCACTACACATCTATGACAGCTGGTTTACTGTCTCAACCACTGCTTTCTGTCTTTTTTTTTTTTTTTTTTTTTTTTGCAGAACTGGGGATTGAACTCAGGCCCTTGCGCTTGCCAGGGAAGCGCTTATTCTACTGAGCCATCTCCCTGGCCCCTTGCTTTCTGCCTTCTGTGAGTCTCTAATTCACCTTTTTACTTTAGGACCTGGTGCAGAGTTCCTTATATGGAAAAGCAGCTCAAAGTCAACATGGAAGCAGTGAGCTCAGGCTCTCCGGTGAGTTTTCAAATCCAACTAGGGAAGCCTCACTAGTACCACCAACGTAAAGTGCCTCCAGACTGAAAAGGGGGTCTCCACGAGACAGGTTCATTTACACTCACATATACCCACAACTGAACATGCATCGGTTCTGTGATCTAACAAACCCTCTTTATAGTAAAACAGGCACAAGAGGCAATTACTATGCAATGGTTTTGCAACTTTTTGGGTGGTGCTGTGGATTGAACATAGGGGTACTCTAACACTGAACTACATACCTAGCCCCTTTTTTTCTTTTGAGACAAGGTCTTTCTAAGTTAGCCAGGTGGTTAACTTGTAACTCTGCTTCAGTCTTTCAAATAATCAAACTGTACAATTTTCAATCCTGTGATGATATTGCTAACTTTGGTAAGTTGAGCAAATTCAATAGTGCCAGTCACATCAGAGTACATTACGATTGCTTGGAAAGCCCATGACTGTCCGTGGCAGAGGGCATGTGATCATCTCTACTGCATTTCACATATGCAGGAACTGGGTCTTGCCAGTAAGCACCATGCTAAAGATGACATGGACAGCAGCTCCTACAGCTGATATCAAACTGCTGGGCTTTCGACTTAAGATCTGTTAATTTCCCCTGTACTTCACTACCTTACCTGTTTGCTTATTTATTTACTGGAAAGTACTCATACCTGGAGGTTACTGGCATGAGGGACATCTTCATGTTTCTCATCCAGAAGCTTTGACATAATCACTAGGCTGAGACACTGTCTCAATTGCCTAGAATTAGAATTTGAAAATATTTAGAAAAAAATTTTAGTTAATACAACCAGAGAAGCAAACCAATGAACCAAAAGCAGTTTCAATTCTAACTGGAAATACAGGTAGTACTTTAAGAGGAGTCTACACAAGAATATATAAACTGCAACAGAAGAGTAGTCCTTTTTTGGTTGTGCTAGGGATCAAACCCAGAGATGCACACATGCTAATGAGCAAGTGCTCCCCCACTGAGCTACACTCCCAGCCTTTCTACAAAAAGCTCTCTCAAGAGCCAGGGATGGCAATCCCAGGATCCAGGAGGCAGGCGGATCACAAGGTCAAGGCTAACCTGGGCTGCCATGCAAGTTTTTTTAAAATGTATTTAGTACAGGGTTTCATTATTCAAATTGGGCTCAGAGTGGTTTTCCTGTTTTCAGCTTCCCAAGTGCTGGCATTATAGGCGTGTGCCGCCAGGCCCAGTCTCAGTTTCAGTCTCAGTGTGCCCCTGCGTCTGCCTAGGCAGGCACTTTAATCCACTGAGCTGTCTGGCTGTCCCTCAAGCAAGTTCAAAGATGGCCTGGATTGTATGTGAAGACCCTGCCATTTTTTTTTTTTTTTTGAGTCACTCATTTTCCCAGGTTACACTTAGAAGTTGTAATCCTTTTGCCTCAGCCTTCCTAGTGGTTTGGGATTACAAGCGGGCACCAAACAGGGAGTTTAGAACAGCAAAGTTTTGAAAATTTTAATTCAATTTGTCTCTTTGAGACAGGGTTTCACCATCCAATTCAGGTTGGCCTTGAACTCTGCAGCCCAGGATGGTCTCGAACTCACAGCAATCCCCCTACCTCAAACTTCTGAATGCCCAGCTAATTCATTTATTTTTACAGTTAGTGTCATCTATGTTGTTTTCAGACAAATTAAAAATAGAAATCAAGAATATCTGAGGGGCTGGGGAGATGGCTCAGTGGAATAAGCGCTTCCCTGGCAAACACAAGGACCTGAGTTCAATCCCCGGTTCCGGAAAAAAAAAAAA